ACAGTCTGGAAACACAAAACTCAGAAGCACAGATCAAAGATACTGACTTGCACTGTTCCACACTGATCTCACTAGGAAAAAAAAAAAAAAAAAAGACAACAAGAAATTCATGCAACAGTGGCACTTTGAGAAAGAGAAGGAATTCAGGTCACCTGCACACAGAGAGTTTAGAAAAGGGAAAGCAAAGAGGTTCTGGATGCTGGCCCCTTTAAATATTTTAAAGCTGGAATAAGGCATATATTTGTGAACGTACCAAGATACCACATGTTACACACTGGTGATAACATGGCTGCTGTCACAGAACGTTATGTATGGACAGGTAAAGTGAAAGGACACAAACATGCTCACCGTGCACACAGAAGTTTCATCCCCAGTCTTTACTCTGTTCCGAGCCAAAATTTGCTCCAAGAGGCCGAGTCTGTGCAGCAGCCAGGAAAATGCCAGCAGCAGCTCCCGACTGCCCGCTGAGCCGTCGGAGGGGAGCCGATATAGTTCTGTTCTGCCATAGCCATGGTACCACAGTGCTGACTTTACAAACCTAATTTGGTGATCTGAAAAGAAGAAAACAATGAGGAACACCACACTGCACTACCCAATGCATTTCCCCATTCAGTTCCTGAAACTGCTGCCTCCTCTGAGAGTAGGATTTTAAATCAAGCCAAAGATTAGTGGAGGACAGTCTTGATCAACAACTTATAAAGGACAGAAGGGAAAGGGTAAAAGCCTTCCTTATGTTGCCCCATTCTGATCTACAGGAACTACTGGAAAGGGAAAAGAAGAAATTCAAAGTTGAGATCAAGACCAGTACTGGCCTCTCAGAGATTAACAATGGCAAAAAAGGTAAATAGCCATCCCCACTATAAGAGGATTCCAATTCACCTATTTATTTTTCATGAGCCACCAAGCATGCTATGAATTATTAAACACTCTGAGTCACTTTACTCCTGAATGAAACTGGAATTTAGAGATAGGAGTTTCACAGCCTTCTGGAAATCTCTGAGCACCAGTCAGCAGGCAGAGATAACACAGCACACCATACTGCATGCCAGACCATACAGACTATTTCTCAGGAATGCTCTGATCCATATTCCTTTGCACCAGCAAATGTTACTTGATAACTACATGACAGGCACTAAAGAGCTGTAAAATTCTGAGGAAACACTGAGAAAATTATTATTAAAAAGTTATCACCAGTAACCCTCAGGTCTGTCTTAAATCAACACTAAAATACCAAACACAGTAAGGGGGCACAATGATGAAAAATACATATTTGGGAAGAACCAACAGCTGTTATAAAAGGAAGTCCTGCTCAAAAAGCTACTGGAGTTCTCCAAATGTAACAATAAGCAAGTGATTAAAGAAGATACAACCCAACCAATGCAGGACATTGAGACTTCCCAGTGGGATTCAGCTGGCCCCAAGGAAACTAAGCCACCATGGAGGGGGGAGAGGAAAGGCCCTTGAATCAATGACAAGTGCCTAGCAGACAAGAACCAGAGTAGGAACAAATGAGGGTTTCACATAAGGGCTCTGTGCTCAACAGTTGCTGTTCAACCAACTCCAAATGACACACAATGTGATAGTGACAGAAAGTCTGGTGCCAATGTGATATTATTCAGAAGTAAGGAATGCAGGCAGACCATGAAGGCTTGGGGAACTCAATGACTTCAAGCTTTAAAAGGACAGATAAAATTAATTTTAGAAAAAGACCCAATAATTATGCACACAAGGAAAAAAAAACAGTCCTAATTTTACTGGCTTTGCAAAGGTCTTGGAGCTGACCACTGAACTCAGAAACTCAGCAACTTTATAATATAAGGTTTTTCATTACAACATCACACTTGGTTCTCATATGCAGCCAAAAGCAAAAACTCGGTGTGAGAAACGTAGAGAGGAAACCAAACAAAACAAAGAACAATATTATATTGTTGTCTACATCCACCATGACCCCACATCACAAATTCAGTCTTATTTTACTTCTCCAGTCCCAAAAAGGCTACAGAGGATCGGGGGGGGGGGAACACAACAAAAAGGACAAGCAGAATCACAAGTGCCAAACATCTTCATTATAAAAAATTACAACCTAGGCCAAGATGATGCCTGAAAATGGATATGCCAAACCTCTTCAAAACCATGATTGCTGTGAAATGGGTGTCCAAGGAAAACTTTGTCCGCCCAACAAGAACTGCGAGCCACTAAAAAAAATTAGCAACACAAGTGGGTCAACACAAGTGAAAGAGATGTTCTTCACACACAAGGGAAAGCCCTGAAAGTTCTGGCCATGGGACATTATGGACACTGAGAGTTACACAGGCTCAAGGAGGAACTAGATTCATGGAAAAGGAGTTCATGGAAGCTTGTGAAATATAAAGATATCCCTTCTGGTTTGGGAAGTCTGAGATGTAAATTACCAGAGGCTCAAAGAATACCTCCCTGAAAGCAACCTTTTGTAATGCCTCTGTCCTTTCCCCTGGGCATCCATTTTTAACAGTTGCCACAGCTGGATGGAGCTAGAGGAACCTTCTTTTAAAGTAAGGAAGAAAGCTGCTCCCCTTTTCCAGTGTAATGCTTCAGTATCTCCATAGGATTTCAGAAGAGGTACACATGCACACAAAAATAACTGAGGGACAAACCTTGCACAATCAGCAGTTGTCACTGCTGTCCTTAATTAACATACCAATTAATCACACTACATACTCATTGCTACTTGTGGTAAAAATATCCCCTAGCACTGACACATACCATAATCTTTCTTTGGCATCAGCTGCTGAAGCTCAAAAACCACATAATGACCAACCACAAAACAATAAACAAGATAAAAATCCTGTTGGGTCTCAAAAGAAATGTTTTAATTACAAGAGAATCCCACAGTGGAGAGTAGCTGATCTAACTTGATTTGCAAAATGTTAAAGGAGTCTTATCAAGCGAAAGTAATGCAAAGCTGAGACACAAGGAGGAGCTATAAACTGACCTATGCTGTAAACCTGTGGGAGCAGGACACTGCAACAGCTCCACTGAGGCTGGCAGGAGCTGGTAAATATAAAAAGCCAGTGAGCTCTGTGCCTTGACAACCCAAAGGAAGATACATGGTATGCACTGTTTGACCAAATTCAGGATTTAGGGAAACATGAGTGCAGATCCCTAAGGAGATGCCTGCTTTCAAAGTGTTCCTTGGTCCAAACACAGAGCTGAAACTGTTGCACAGATTACTACATATCTTCAGCAGCAGGAGCAGAGGTACATGACAGGCTACCTGAAAGCTACAAATCAGTTCCTGACAAAGACATTAACCAAGACTGAAGGACAAAAAAAACAAGATCAGGAGTGTAATCAAGCAGGTGACACAATGGCACAGAGCTACTGATTTTTTTGCAGGACTAGTGTTTTGTGTAGAGGAGCTTCTGCAGAGGCAGATGACAGCTGGACAACTGGTATTAAATGTAGCTTGTTTCTGTAATGCAGACCCAAAAAGGCAACCCAAAAACCTAAATCACCCTTTGCTCTTAGAGAAGTCACTTAGTTTTCCTTATCTCTACAGTGCTCTGCTTACAGGAAAACAATGCTCAGAAAAATGGCAGTAGAGGCTGAGTACCCAAGACTAAGATGGACTCCTCCAAAATGAGCAGACAAGAGAAAAAAACATCACTCAGACAGTAAGTAACACTAGTCACTTCAAACACCTCTTTGGCAACATCTTCCTTCCTGAGGATTAGACAATTTAAGAAGAAAGATCTACACAGACCTTCCAACTAAACCCCCTCCACACACATTATCAAAGTACATTCAGCAAGTAAGACCTGTGGACAAACCTCAGGGTTCAGCTCTCTCAAAACTGTACTGAGCTGTGCTCTTCCAAACCCTGCAGAATATTTTCAGTGAATTATAACATGATAATCAAATAAGGGTTATGAATTAGCCCAGCAGGCTAAGATGGAAAGGAACTAAATCAAGTACAAGAACAGACACACATTCATTACTTCATGCACTCAGGCAAGAAACCTCCATAGGTAGCAGTATTATGGGAAATTACTGCTGCAGAAGAACATTTTCTGCTTCATTTGTCAAAGAAACAAAAATATATTGCAGCTCCAGACCGCTTGTCTATACTATAAAAAATGAATTGTAACTCCAGAAAAGAAACATTTCTTTACATAAGAGTATTGCATGCAGAATATGCATAAATGCATATTTGCTACCTGGTGTGGCTGTTAGGTGGTTAACCAAGCCCAGCAGCTGTCAGACTCTGTGAAGAAAGAGCAGCATGAAGTCACTCATCATAAGTTCATCACCACCACGATGCCTAGAGCACCATTACAATCATTCTGAAATGTTTGAGAGGCTGGGGTGTATTAACAGCTTCCCACCCGAGTTTACAGAAAGGGTTTTTTACTATGTCAAGAAAAAATCCTTCCAAAAATGACAAACCATAAAAGCCATTTACAGAATGTTATAACCACTTGCTGGCAGGTCTCAGTAGAGCTTCTGGTTTCTCCCTGCAAGAACACGGAAGTTCCTGCATTTTGAAACATCAATCTGTGTGGATTTTTTTTTTACATGTGATTTCTTTAGTATTTTATTGCCTGCTAGCTGGGCAATAAAATATATCAAACCATTCAAAAAATATGATGCAGAATGTTTTTCTAAACAATACCACACCAGAATAACCACAAGGGAATGGTTAGTAGCTGTTCTATTCAAAGCACGTACTAACCTTCTCTAAAAGTCACTTCACTAACAAGATCAGATAAAAAACTGACTAATGAAAACTAGCTCGAAACAGAAATAAATACAGAGGTACAACTTCAAAAGCCCCTTGACAAAAAGGACTTCCCAGAAAAAGATTTCTGGAAAAATCTGTCCTTTTTCACCAGCAAAATCTGTAAGAGAACTCTCCTTGTAACACACTGCTTTCTTCTAGGATTTCATAACTGTAAATGATCCAACATCTGGCATACAATCCTTGAAATGTAGGGCTCACTCTAGAGAATAGTGAGAAGAACCACTGTGACCCCAAAAACACACGCAGACCACAGACCCAAGCTCAATGTTTCCTTTGGAAAAACTTTTAGCCTAAAAGAAAATAAAAAAAAAAAAAGTAAAGGTTACAAGACCATTTGAGTATTGCCTCTCTTTTCCAAAAAGCTGTTCCTATGCGTGCACACACAGTTACCTTCACACCAAAGGAGTCTTCACAGCTGTCCTCTGGGTTCTGGCAACTGCTTCTCTCCTTGTTTAGTTTATTAAGAGGCTGCACAAGAACAGCAAAGAAAGGAAAGCCTGACCTATGGACTAAAGCACTAGACACAGATTAGAGGAATCTGTTTCAATTCTTAGTGGTTTTACAGGATCCTGTGCAAACCTGGGAAATTATTTAGTTCCTCTCCCACTTATTTTCATGAGATAAATGCATGAAACACCGTAAGTGCTCCAGAACAGGAACAGAAAGGCAGTAAAACATTGATTGTATTCACAGCATACAACTCATTCACTTCAACCAGTAAAGCTAATTAGTGTCATTTGAAAAACTGTATGGCTCTCACATGTGAGTTTCAGCTTTAATAGCCAAGTTTCTTCAAGATCAGCTCAGCAGTTCTGAGCAGAATCACACATTCCTACCTCACAATCTAACAGCAGAAGCTGGGTTTGCCTTTTCTACAGCCAGCAACCTGCCACATGCACGTGGAAGTCCTGTTCCCAAATGCTAAGAGCAGCCAGGATTCAGGGAAGTCACACTTGTGCAGGACCACCTCCACAAAGCTGTAGGAGACAGCAAATAAACTGGCTTAGCATACACCACATATTGTGGATGAGCAGAAAAGCAAAAACAGCTACATGAAAAATAGCAGTCCTGTGAGTAACACACAACCAGGCTGCTCCCCTGCTGAGCCAGCAGCAAAACTATGCTGGTTTTGCTCCACACTCCTTGAGAGGTATCGCCCACAATGCTTAGTCTTTTTTAACTCCATTTCCAGAGCTCCCAGCTCTTCAGGGGCTAAAACAATGTTGTTTGTGTTTTTCTGCTTTAAACAACAAAAGTGGGGTTTAAGGGGTTTTGGTCCAAGGAGACTCTATCTATCACAATCCCATTCTCAACACTTTCTCTGACAACAAAAGGGCTCTAGATAAGACTCCTTTCAAGAGAGAAGTCTGGGGAGTAGCATTGTACTTCAACATACATTTAAGAAATAAATAGTGCTCTGCCATTATGAGAAGCCAACATGCATTCAGCTTCTTTCTGGAGTGGTATCTCTGTCCAGAGACATTCATGGTCCCTCTAAAATATTTGCACACACTTCACTTTTTATTTTGCCTATAACTGCAAGCCAACACTGCCTTTAGGGTTCCTCTACTATAATTCACAGACCTGACATAGGAGTTGATATAAAATTAACTACAGAACTATCTGTAATATTGGAATGCAAAAAAGATCAAAGGAAAAACAAATCAATTTCTGTAATTATCTCTGCAGGTGCTGAGAATACGTAAGATCATTGCAAAGTTTTACTAGCTGAGAAATATCCAAGGGAAGCAAGAGCACCTAACAAACACAAAAACATCTCCGTTTCCTGGAGAGAGCAAGCCAAAGAGAGATAAACCTGCATGCACACCCGTGATGCAACAGCAAGAGCCAGTGGCATAAGCTATTCAAAATTGAGCATTCCTGACACGGACCAATGAGTCAAAGAAAAGCTGCTACAAATCCAGCCTCAGTAGTTCCCTCAGACAGTCAGAAATTGTGCAGTCAGCCAGACAGACTGGGTTACCTATGGCATCAGCCTCGGTCCACTTGCCCCCGTGGATCTGTTTCAGAAGAGCATAGAGCAGCCTCCAAAAAGCCAGGCTCTGCAAAAGAGAAGTGGGAGAGATCAGCAGGCAAAAACATCTGCCACATATTTAGCCTTAATGACGCAATTTAACCCATATTTGAGCATCACCTGTTGCATGGAAGAGCACACCTGCCTCCTGCTAACATTCTCAAAACAGGCAGGGTCACCTCTTAGCTGTTTTATGAATGCCACCTACAGTAAGGTGCCCTCAGAAAGAGAAGGGCTAGGAATGCTGGCTGGACAGCAAGACCCAGCACTTCTCCCTGCAGGCACATGCAGACAGGAGCACGGGTTGCAAAGTATCTGCTCTGATACAACCATAAAAGGCACAACTCACCCATAGACAAACAAGCACTAAAAGACCCTAAAATCATCTGACCATGATAGTATCATAACTCACAAAGAGGGAGCATTCAGTGAGTTTGAACTGGAAATAATTTCTTGGCCACAGGACAGCGTGCTCACCAACTGAAACAGTGATGCTTACAGCTGGAATTTCAGTCAACACTTGTAAAATGCTTAAAATAGCCAGCTGGGAAAGTGAAGCACCCTGTGTATGAGCTGGAGGCCTGTAAAGCCCTGAAGCAGGAAGACCTGACCCTCACTGGTGTCAGTGTAAGCAAGCCTCGGGTGCCACCAGAAAAAGTGTTGCAGACCAGGGTGAAATAACAAACTTTAAGATAAAACCACCAGAAAACAAAGCCCTTCCCAGCGCAGCGAGGCTGCAGCGTCACAGCGCCGGCTGGGGCCCACACCGGAGCCCCCCACGGCTGCCCCTGCCCCCGGGCCAAACCCCACCCGGGTGTCGCCGAACCCCTTTCCCTCGGGATGTCCCCTCAATCCCTGCATCCCTCAGGGGGCGCGGAGGAGAAGGGACAGCGCCAGGTACCGGCGGGGACACCGGCGGAGAACGCCCGGGGCCGGCCCGCGCTCACCGCCTGCGGCCGGTCGAACTTGGCGCAAC